TTTTGAAAAAAAAATAATAATAATAATAAATAAAAATGCGTAGGAGAAAAATGGCTGGGCAAAGTACTTGTTGTGGTTTAAAGGGAGGATGTAAATGGAAGGAAGGATGGGGACGATGCCATGTTGATCCAAGATGCTCGACCTTTAATCATTTGTCTTTCAGGGCTAGAGAAGGCCTGAATGGAGGCTGATCAGTAATGGATATGCATGAGATTACAGGTCCAAGTGCGTCAAGGAGTGGGTTTCCAGGCAGATCAGGCCCCCATCAGTCAAGCAGCACTTAGTATGCAAAATGAGTTTTTTTTTTTTTTCACATCTGAGCAGGGGCCTGTACCCACTAGCGAAGTATTCTACTTCCTGGTTTACGTTTTCGATCACGTGCGGCTGGGGGTGACAGATGCGAACTGCACATCTCACTCTGCATTGACGGGCCTGCCTGATGCAGTATACAGTGGTGCCCATGAGAAAGCACCGACCAATGAACTGAACTGGCTGCTACTGGAATTTTTTATTGATATTAATGCTGGTGTCGATTAAGACTTCGCGCGTTGCTGTTTACGCCTTGCCGTACTACCAAAAAAAAGAAAACAATTTGCGGGCAGTTACTATCGTTCCGTCAGCCATGGCGGTTTTATTGCATTCGGGACGTAGGGCCTGGCAACATGAGGATAATATACTGCACATGCATTTGGACTCTTCCTCCACACAGTTCATTCATATTTTTTGACTCCTTCGAATGAGCCTCCTGAAAGCATCCAAATGCATGTGCAGTAATGCGTGGTGGAGCCAGGCCCGTAGGCAGGGTATGCAGGCCCAGCACTTTCTTTGATTCATTTTAAAACCACTTAGAAAGTTAGAAACCATTAAAAAATACAAAAATGCTGTCACACATCGTATATGGATTTTTGTATTATGGGACGCTGGACCCGGTTTCCAGCAGGTGTTGCTGCCCACCAATAGATAGAGCAGCCCATTAGGCAAAGCCTCAATCTCGGTGGTGCTGTTATCACTACCAAGATAGAGGTTTTGCACAAGGGATTTTCAAAAAAGAAAAAAAAAAAAAAAAAACTTTGCTAGTGGGTCCAGGCCCCAGGGGTTCCGCTTAGTGAGGTGATGAAGTCATCCTCCCTAAGTGGTCCCCTGCGTTGAAGGCTCCATCTATCGGTGGGCGGCAGCACCTGCTGGAAAGCAGGTCCAGCGTCCCTCCATGGTACAATGATGCACTCAATACTCTCATCATGATGATCGCACTCCCAATGTGACTCTTAACTGTACTGTGCAATTACTGTCCCCTGATTCCTATCCATGACCTGGAAGTACATCCTATACATTTGGCTTGGTGGTGCAGGGAGGAGAGCCTTGAGCATGGAATATGTTGCACAGTACACAACTGTACCACAATTTCCTGTCCCCTATTTCCAATCCATGACCTCGACCTAGATCCTATGAAATGCACTAGCGGTTAATGGAAGGCCAAAAATTCGGGGTTTTTCGCCGCGTCGCTACAAGCAATGTTGTCGAAACTTTTGCGAGCAAACTATGCTGGGTCATAATACAAACATAAAAAAAAAACAATCAGCCAAAAAAAAAACGAAAAAATCAAACTCAAGAGCACTATTGGTGTTGCAATGAGGGCCCTCCAACGGTGGCACTAGATCTTTGATGGACAGCAGACTCGATCTTGGGACAAAGATGGTTTGAACCATACTTGCAAGCGGACGCCGTCCGGGCGGTTCCGCACGTGCGGCAGACCGTCGGACCGGACCCGCGTGGCGCACGAATGTGCGCCCGACGACCAGTTACSCCCCCCCCCCCCCCCAAAAAAAAAAAAAAAACCGCCCCCGTCCGGTCCGTTCCGGGGGGAGGGTGCTGCACGCGGCAAAACGGACCAGACCGGACGCTCGTCCAGTCCGTCTGCTTGCAAGTATGGTTTGAACAACTTTGAAACAAACGAGTAACATTTTGGGGGGGAAAAAACACAAAAAAGAAATGAGTAACATTCTGGGTTTTGTGCTGATAAAAAGGGGAAACCCGGGGCTAGGTCCCACTTGCACGAATTAAGAGATACTGAACGGCCGAAAACTCCTAATTTGCGCAAGTGGGACCTAGCCCCCGGAAAAGAAACGAAAAAGAAAGATTAGGTGGGGTTCTCTTCTGATAATCATCACACATTGCAGAATCTGAAGTTTGCAATAGATTTACGGAAAAGAAGAAGACGGGAAAAAAGAAGAAGTTCACAATGGTTAATATCACTTATTATTTTGGCCGCTTTTAGGCCTCTATTTCTGAGATTATGCTTGTGCAGCGCTCTTTCACTAGCTGTGGAGAACTCTCTGGTATCCTTCAGTTGTTATAGGCCCTAGGTGTCTTGCGCTGCATAGTTAGTGTAGGAGGATAGCCTGGATAGATGATTGAAGTAGTTAAACCACCAGTACTTGGGCGACGCCTTAGCGTTAACGCTACGCGATTTCCGCAGCCGGCGGGCCGTCGATAAATCGAATCGACAGCCCGCGCTGCTTCGAGATTTGGGCGGCCGGCGCGGCGCGCAGTGCCCAAGTACTGGTGGTTTAAAGTTGATATCTCCTTCTTGCTTTTTGCATAGGCTACTTGCAGCTAGAGTCTTTTGCAATGGGTAGTTGCTGGGTAGGTTAGTAGATATATAAGCTGTAATCTGGATTGGATACAGCCAGGTCTCTCTTCCGCTTATCAGGCCTGGTTTATTTGTGCACATCAGTACGTGTGTACTCGATAGGGGGGAAGTGTAAGTGCTTTCAGTTTCGACAACTATAAGCTAAACTGGCTGATGCTGCCAGGATAACTCCGGGTAGAATTGTGAGGTCCCCGGCCTCGATTGCAATTTTTGAAAAAAAATAAATAAATAAAAAAAATCACTTATTACCTGGTGCTGCCGGTCAATCTTGGGCGGCTCCTCAGCCTCAGGCATAATAAAATGCATTTTTTTTTTTTTTTTTTTTTTAAAAAGGGCGATGGCCTTGAGTTATAAAATGCATTTCGAAAGGGTATATAGTATATACTTATTAAACTACTATAAAGTACTAGGTAGATGTCGAAGCACGACGAACACAGTGACTGAGTGGAACAAATGCAGGACTAAGATGTGTGATATGTGAACATTGTGAAGGTGTAGTGGAAGACGATTGGCGGTGTTTTCGCACATATCTCCTCCCCCCCCCCACCCACCCACCCCTCACCCCGAAAAAGAAAGGAAATTGAATCTCTAATTTTTAAGTTGTAACATTAAACCACCATGACCTATGAGTCTTCTTCTTCTTTTTTTTTTTTTTTT